TACTGGGAAGATACATTAAAATATGTATCTACCAGCCTCACATCTAGTCCTGGCCACACCGATCATATAGTACTTCTTTTTTCCCTGGCAGATGGAGCAGAAATAGGGGCCTGATTTTGCTAAGGAGATGAGATTATGGGATGTTTCCCCCCTAAGTCATAAGCTTTAAAATACTTATCACAAATCAAACGTCCTGCCCTAACCGGTTTGGCTCAGTGGATAGAGCATCAGCCTCTGGACTGAAGAGTCCCAGGTTCGATTCTGGTCAAGGGCATGTACCTTGGTTGCAGGCACATCCCCAGTAGGGGGTTTGCAGGAGGCAGCTGATTGATGTTTCTCTCTCATTGATGTTCTGGCTCTCTCTCCCTCTTCCTTCCTCTCTGTAAAAAAAATTTAATAAAATATATTGTTTTTAAAAATCAAACCTCCTGAATGATCTATATAACCCATCTATAACAGCCACTGGCACAGGCCTTACTTCCATAGACAGTTACTGTCCACAGGACAATCCATAAACTGCAAATTCTGATTTCTCTGTGTACAGAGAGAGCTCTCATCAAGTCTGTGGCAATAGACTGAGAACTAGAAGGCTCTAGTCTACATCAGTGCCCCTTACAATACGAGGTCCTTCCAGCCTATCCACCACCTGGAGTTGTGTTAAACATATTAAACAGAAACGGAGAAGAGGAGTTGAGGGGAAAGAGAAGTAAATTGGAAAGTTACTGACAGTGGCACCTTGACTCTACAAATTGCCTCAGCCCCTTACAGGTCTATCACCAGTTCCCCAAGGAGATAGGTCACTGCCTTTGCCAGGCCAAGCAGGGTAGTCTGTCACATCCATCAAATCGGCACTCACCCACTCAGCCAGGCATTTTGAGGAATCTGCCACTCACAGCCTACAGTTTGTAGAGCTGGGAACCTCTGATCTACTACTTTGAGTGGCATGGCATAGCAGGCCATAGAAGCTTCTCTTATTTATGTCATCATTCTCATGACATTTGGACAAGAAGGAAAATGACCGAACTACCTTCTCGTTTCAGGCCTTATAGACACAAGGACTGAGCCCATTTTAATTGAAACTTGGGGATGTGAAATTCATGTTCTGGTGCTGATCTAGTTCCTGTCAACGGAAACAAGTCATTTTACCTCTTACTGTTTTAGCCTTCACCTATAAATGCCTCTGACGCCACTAGCCCACCTAGAAGGTAGCAAGAAGCCAGACTGATGTTCTTGATTCTAAGTTTCCAATAAAGTCACCCAGCCTGCCTTTAATCATCAGCCCACTGCCTGTAGTACAAATGTCACATCTGCTTTTGCAAAACTCAGAAAAACCCACACTCTGTCTCTCCTCAACTTGGTAGCATTTTACAAATAACTGCAGGCAACAAAGAGCAAGATAGACAGAAAAAGAGAATACATAAATACTGAAATCAAAAGGGGAAAGGGATAAAAATACAAAGGTGGGAAGCACTTTCTGGTTTTAGAACAAAAGACACGGTGGCAAGAGGTGGCGCTCATGAATAAAACGTGTAAGTGTAAGTAAAATCACTGAAAGTAAAAGAATAGGAAACCATGGGAATATTCTTGCTTTATATGCAGGTTACTCCTGTTGGCTACAAAAAAAGAAATCTTTTAAAAAGGAATAGTCTTTGGAAGCAAAAGGTAGGAAGGTCTAAACTAATTAAAAACAGGTTGGCTAACAATGGGGCACAACCATGTGTATACTGAGATGGAATGTAGTCATAAAAGCTGGACACATACATGCAATGAATTAAATTGGAAATGTGTGTGTCTCCGGCTTCATATCTATTAAAGGAATAAACAATTTACATGTTGCTGCATTACAGGAATATGCTATGTGGATAGTCCTTTCACCCTTTCTCTACAAACTGAACCATGTTAAGTCAAATCAAAGATGGGGTTTGAGGGGGGTGGGGATGGGGAGAAAAGCAGAGAAAAAGAAAGTTTTAAAAAAATATCTGCCTCAGCAAAAGTTTTCATTAAAATTTTAGACAAATGATCCCTGTGTCCTTCTCCCTTGCTGCCTGGGGCTCCATGCTATTTCTATGCAAATAACAACCTCGTGGTTTATATCTTATTATTTCCACCGGAGCTGCAGCGACATGACCTGAGATGTGTAAGGGGCGGGGGATGGGGCAGGGGGAGTTGGTGAGGGTGGGGAGAGAGAGAAAGAGAGAGGGGAAAGGGAGAGAGAGAGAGAGAGATGGAGTGGGTGTTCACTCAAGTGTGAAAAAATATTGTCAGGAGTGAGCATCAAGAACAAAAAAATTGCAGGGATAACGTGTTTATTTCAGTCCCCCCACTCCTCATCTGTACCCCCCCACCATTTGCAAACCGGCACCTTTTAAAATTCATTGGGCATCAGGCGATCATGCACAATCCATCTGCTTTCACTTTATCATTTGCATTTCATGCCTCCTGGCTTTTGATGTGCTGATACTTTGATGCAGTCAGGAGACGCGCATTATCATTATTTCAATTTTCAAAGGGGTCAACGGGATCGGCACTTGCACACACAGATTTTTTCCCCCTACAACCTCTGCGCACCCCCTCCCTTCTTTTCCTTCACCCCAATGTTTAACATAAAGGATGAAGACTCAAAAAGGTGGGGGTCAAATGTTTTCCATCTTAAATCTTGCATATACCACGTACATTTCCACTTCACACAGTTATACACATACTACGAGCAAAATAGTCAAGGCTTAAGGAGGCTGGCTCTACAGTGCTTCAGACACACACAAAGACGTCCTCACACATGGATACTCAGGGAGGCACACACACACAGAGAAAGAGAGGGATCTAGAAGCAAGATACAGACACAAAGAGACAGCACTCACACGGGAAGAGACATGTTCTTAAGTGACCTGCACACCCAGAGTCTGGGAGAGAGATTCTTACAGAAAGTAAGGCAAACAGAGATGTAGAAAGTCACCAGTGCACACAAAGACAGAGGAAGCAATCTGAGCATGTAGCTCCCGTACAGTTTCCTTTCTCATGCCTGATAGGCAAAGGGGCAGATAGGACATTTTTAATGAATCTGCATGAAATCGCGTGTCTTCCAGCAACATGACTCTATACTTAAGAGGCCACTGACATGAAAACAGAGAAGTGGAAGGAGCAGGATTAGGTAACCTCTATAACTGATCATTCCCTTCAGCCACAAATGATCATGTCCTCCTGGAAATGAGCACTGTTGTTGAGCTGCGGCTGCAGCTTCACTTGTCTTTTCTCCTGCAACCAGGCTTCTCCTTTAACAAGCAGCCCGTAGGCTAGAAGATGGTAAATATAATGAATTTGTCCGGAACAATTTAATCAGATTTGAAGAAAACAAAATCCTTAAAGCTTTCTTAAAGGCACATATGAAATTCAACTAGCTAGTTTTTAGCCATAAAAACAAAAAACTAACAACACCCCAACAAAACTTTTGCTTTTTGTAATATTATTTGTGTAAACATAGTATCAGGGAGAAAATAACAAACCCACTGAAATAAGATACATTTCAGAAATTAGCTCTTAGTTGAGGCGTGGAAACATTATGGAAATACAGGTGTCTTCTTTAAATTCTATTCTCACAAATAATGGAATCAACAACTCTCTTCAACATCCGTCAATATCATATCCTAAGAAAATATGCAAAAGAGCAACTTAAAAAATGTAGAACACTTAGCAATTTCTCCCACTGGAATTATTTCCTTCACTGTTGGCAGTTCACAATCTTTGCCTTTCCTTGGAGAGAACGGCAAGCCCAGGGAAGGACACATGAATGCAAAGAACAAGCTGATCACATCAAACCATTCTCATTCTGACATTAACAAAAGCTATCGGGACCAACAGAACGATCAACGTTTTCTAAATGAGAGTGATAGGATAGGACACTTAATTCCTATCCTTCCACCTGAAGGTCAAGGCTTAATAAAAAAATAAAAAAAAAAGTTAGTGCATGTCTGATAAACACAATATCCAATACAATTTAGCATGTGTGTAACTCCACAAGCTCAATCACCAAACTATGTAAGAGAGAAGAAAAGGGAACTGAAATTGAAATGAGGGCCAGCACTTTATGCCAGGTACTAGGTACTTTTACTTATGTTTTCTCATTTGACCTCCACAGCATTATTCAAAAGTATAAATTATACCTGTTTGATAGATAGATAAAGCTGAGGAGCTGAGAGGTTATATGAGTTGTATAAGGTCAGCCAGCCTGTCCCAGACTATTACATATTCCTAGGCTCTGGAGAGAAAATAATTTTCCTATGCCTGCAAAGAAGTCAGAACTACATTGTCTTGGTATATTCAGGTATTCTTAGGCAGTTTTCAGTCTTATAAAAAGTGAGCACATCACACCGTTTAATATTCCCAAGCCTTGGGAAAAGCCCCAATGAGCTTGGACTGAAAAGGCACAAGCATTTCTTTTGAAGGGAAGATAAGCCTCTATGTTATACCCTTTCCCAGCCATCTGTCCGTCCATCCACCGATTCTTTCATTCACTATTTACCAAGTACTTTGCACAAGGAACCACGTTACATGCCCTTTTTGAGAGGTACATTCACTGACTTCTCAACACATTAAAACTTGATATCCTCAGAGAACAGCTCTATGCCTGGAAATGAAGATCATTTCCCTTACTCATAGATGAGAAAAAGAGGGGGAGGGCAGAATTGAAGCATTCAATTAATTCTCTTTCTAGAAAAACACTAGAATGTAAACTCTTTGGAGCAGGAGTTTTATATGGTTTGCTCATTAACATATCCACAGGGCTTGAAACAGTGCTCAGCACATAGTAGATACTCAAAATATTTGTTGAATAAATGAATGAGCCGGCAAGCAAGGCAATGGGTAGGGAAGGTGGAAGGAATAGGGAAGAGACAGACTGGGGAAGGCTGGCTTGCATGGCATCCTCCCAACCAGGATTCTGAATCAAGAATTCGCAGTAACCTGCAGACAGCTTCACACACTTCTCCCAACCCCTAGAAACTTACTTTGTTGAGGGCCCCGGCTCCTGTCAGAATTAAGTAAGAATTTTCAACTTGAATGGTTCTCTGTCCCAGCCGGACAAGGTAAGCCCCAATTCCAATGGCTCGACATGTAACCTTAAAAAAAAAAAATTCTGCAAGTCACATATTTATATCCCCTCCTAAGCTGTAAAAACTAAGGCACAGATATGTAAAACTCACATTAACAGAAATTAAAAAAAAATACTGCTTTTATAAAGTTTGTTTAATAACAATACTAAAAATAGAAATTTCCTGGTCAAGGAAAAGAAGATACAGAACTCAGACAGCCATTCAAGTATTAGCTCCTTTACGTCTCACATTTTTGCCCATTTCACAGTTGCATGACATCAATATGAGAAGTATGAACAAAGAATGTAGTAAGAGGAGAAGAAATTTAAGCTGTTAAAACTCTGATAGAATATTTAGAGAAATAAATTAGACTATAGGCTAAAAGTAGGTATCAGGTTTATCTGGGAAATTCAATTATTTCCTATCTTCCCATGATTATCTACAATTAAAATCGAATTGTAGATATAAAAACTTTTAAGAAATGCTCTCGTTTTGGATTAAATAGAGGGATGGGGCAAAAAGAAATCCCAGCTACACAGTCAGCTCTTCAAAAATTTCACATTCAGGTAAGATTTACCAGGCTAATGGTGATGATCTCATCATAGGCCAATGAAGCTTCTCCAGCAATCATTCCAGAACCTCGAAGGTTCTCTGCTCCAAGGCCCTCTTCCTTCCCAATAATATCAGTTATCTTGTACCTATTGGATACAGACATGCCAAATTATGATGGTTTAACACAATAGCAGCAGTCTTTTAAAAGAATAGAGTCACCATTAAAAGGCTACTAAAAGCATACAGAAAGCATTCTGGAAGCTTATATATAACCTATAATCTTTATTCATGTATCTTTCCTTCGTAACTTGGTTCCTCTTTTGTCTAGAGGCAATCCTATATAACAAAAGCCTAATATGCAAACTATCCCTTCAATCAGGAGTTTGACTGCTTGCTATGACATGCTCTGACCACCAGAGGGCGTCGTAGAATATGGCAGGAATCAGTGATGTGGCACTGGCAGCAGGTGACAGTGGAGGTGCTGCCAGCCCCAGTGGGCCCCAACAGGACCACACAGGATGGTGGAGCAGGTGAACAGATGGCACCAGGCCAAGGCGGGTGCAAGTAGGGCCCAATCGCCTACCAATCGCCCCACAGACAGTGACCAGCAGCAGCAGCAGGGGATGGGGTCGCTGCTCAGCTCACAATCACTGAGGAGCCGGGCAGGGGCTGATGACTCAGGCAGAGGGGAGCGCACAGAGACCTTGGGGTCCCAGGGCCCAGAGGTCAGCTGGGTCCTGCCTTTCAACACTAGACGCTCATGCTTCAATGGCCGGCCAGGTCTAAGAATGGCACCCATGCATGAATTTTGTGCACTAGGCCTCTAGTATGGTATAAAAGAAAGAGCAACATCTAGAACTAAGTAGATATATTTAAATCCCTGCTCTGACACACACATCAATGTGACTTTGAGGATAACAGTAACTGCTACAAAATGGGGAATGGGATAACTGTCTAACTCTAAGAGTTGACAGGAGTTAAAGCAACATGGGGAGGGTTTGCCACATAGATGGCACTCAGATTTTAGAACAAATTTCTAGAACAAATTTCTTAGAGGCAGAATCAATGCACATTTCTACAATAGCCATTAAATCATCAATTTTTTAAAAAATCATCAATTTAAAAAATATATATATTTTAATGATTTTTAAGAGAGAGGAATAGAGAGTTAGAAACATCGATGAGAGAGAATCATCTATCAGTTGCCTCTTGCACACCCCCTACCGGGGATGTGCCCGCAACCAAGGTACATGCCCTTGACCGGAATCGAACCCGGGACCTTTTAGTCCGCAGACCGACGCTCTACCACTGAGCCAAACCGGTTTCAGCTAAAAATCATCAATTTTTGATAAAGGTTTCATCGGAACAAAAAAATCTAGAGGTGTAGTGAGAATAAGCCCACATTCTATAATCAAACATTCTCTCTCTCTCTCTAAGACAGGGATGAAGGGGAAAGTCAAGACAATGCACTCCTCTCCCTACTCCTCTGTAAATATCAAGTGTATGCACGAGGGTTCCTGGCTACAGGCCTCTGGAGGGGCAGGTGGGATGTGTGTAGAAGTGAAATGCTGGCCAACTTGTCCAGAAAGCATCCTGTGGATCCAGTGGGAGCCACTCATCTGTCTTCTTGGCAGGGGATTAGGAGTGATAACTGATAATGGGAAATGGGAGATGGGGAATGCAACTAATAAAAGAAAGAAAAAATACAAAGTTAGAAGTAGAGATGGGCATATATTATTTATTGTTCCATGTGTACCCAGAAGGCTTGGCACTGGGCATAGTTTTATAAATTGAAATAATAAATAAGTATCCCATAGTGGCTCTTAAACTACTTTTTTTTTTGCCCCCATATTTCTCTGCTCCCTTCTTTACTTCGAGCCCTCCATCAATTCCATTTCTTTGTCCTTGCTATTGGTTGTGACTTTGCATCTCTGCTTCTCAGTTTCCCTTGCCTTTCTATTTTTAGCTTCTCCCCAAAATTCTCCAATTCTTCCTCTGGCTCTGTATCTAGACTCTAGCTTCTAGAGTTACCATTATAGGTAAAACTTATCTTCCCTAAGGAGCTAATGAGCCACATTAGTTTAGCAGAGGGCGGAGAGAGATTAATGTGTTTTTATAAAATTCATAAGCCATACAGTCACAAACACTCATGGACCCAGTCAGCCTTCCCTCAAAGCAGATCTTTCCCTTCTGAGGCCTGCACATTATTTCATAGGTGTTCATGATCTGTTAAGTGCCCTCTTCTTCCATTGTATTACATGGAAAAGAGTGGAAATTTCCCACATTCTGCTCTATGGTCCGAGTTTTCTATCATTGAGGCTATCATTCTTTAAAGTAGTACCAAACTTTAATCTATATAATGAAAGCTTAAGGGACCATTATGGTGAAACAACCAGAATGACCAGTTGCTATGATGCTCACTGACCACCACAGGGTAGATGCTCAATGCAGGAACTGCCCCCTGCTGGTCAATGTGCATCCACAGGGGAATGCTGCTCAGCCAGAAGCCAGGCTCACAGCTAGCAAGCGCAGCAGCGGTGGCAGCAGCAGTAAGGAGCAGTGAGACGAGTGGTAAGGAGCAGCGAACAAGTGGGTGGTAAGAAATAAGGGGTTATGGGCTGCGAGAGGGATGTCCAACTGCCAGCTTAGGCCTGCTTCCCATGGCAGTTGGACAATCCCCTGAGGGGTCCTGGATTGTGAGAGGATGCAGGCCAGGATGAGGGCAGCCTCCTCCCCGCCCCCTGCTCTCCCCAGTGCACAATTTTCATGCACCAGGCTTCTAGTCTTAAATAATAAAAGGGTAATATGCAAATAGACCAAACGGCAGAACTGAACAACCAATCAAAGTATAATATGCTAATGATATGCTAAGTCTGTTCAATAACTTGCTATGATGTGCACTGACCACCAGGAGGAAGACAGTCAACTGGTCAACCAGTCACTATGATGTGCACTGACCACCAGGGGACAGATGCTCTGACCGGTAGGTTAGCTTGCTGCTGAGTTCCAGCCAATGGGACAGATCATGCACCAATGGAGTCCCTTAGCCTGGCCTGATCCTCTTGCAATCCGGGACCCCTTGAGGGGTGTCGAAGAGCCAGTTTCAGCCTGATCTCACAGGCCACTCCTCCTCTGGTACCACCTGGAGGGTACTAGATGCAGGGCTCATGGCTGGCAAGCTCTGCTATGGCAGGGTGAGCCTCTCCTGATGGGGACTTATTGGGCACAAGCCCGCAGCAGGCACAGTGGGGCTGGGGTGAGGAGGAGCAGTAGGTAGGAACTGCGGGTGGTGTTGGACTGTAGGTTTTGGCCCAATCCTTGCAGGCCACCCACAGGGACCCCACCTGTGCACCAAGTCGTGCGCCAGGCCTCTAGTGTTATAAAAATCGTTACCTAGTGCAATAAATTAACAAAACACATTCATATATATCATTTTTGATCCCCACAACAATCCACTGTGATAGGTAACACCACCTCCATTATTAAAGACAATAACAGCAACAGCCAGGATTTTTAACTGTTTACTATGTGCTCATGCTATGCTAAGGGCTTTACGTATATTAGTTTACTTGGCCTTCACCTTACAGATGAGGAAACTAAAGCTCGGAAAAGAAAAACAACTTGCTTTAACCAACTTCATTGGTAATTTTAAAAATACCTGTTAAAATAACAAATTGTTTTATGTTATTTTATTAATTAACAATAATTGATGTTGGCAAGAGTGGAGAAAAATCAAAGAGGAAACCCAAGTAGTATTATAAACTACTGGTGGGAGTGCAATATGAAAGCATAAAAATATATTTAAAATGGATATATTTTTAAAGCAGTAATTCACTTTCAGAAATTAACCCACAGGAAATAGAGATATTCCTAAAAGTTTATATAACAAATGTTTAACCCAGGGAGATTAACAGTGAAAGTTTGGAATAGTTTGAATGTTCATTTATGTTATATTCATTACAGTGAAATACTATGAAACCATGAAGTATCACATTCTCAAATAATATTTTTAGATATTAAAAAAGTTTCCCAAAATAACTTTTAGTGAAAAGAACAAATTAACAAAAGTTTTCCTATTATAGCCCAATTATTAGGGGGGAAATACATATAGAGAAAAGACAGCAAGAATATATTGCACATTAATAATTGTGTCTCTCGGCAAAATAAACGAACAAACAAAATAGAAACAGACTCACTGATACAGAGAGTAGACTGATGATTGCCAGAGGAGAGAAGGGTTGGAGGGCTGGCTCAAAAAGGTATAGGGATTAAGAACTACAAACTGGTAGTAACAAAACAGTCATGGGAATGTAAAAAAACAAACAAACAAAAAAAAACAGCATAAGGAACATAGTCAATAATATTGTAATAGCCCAGGTCAGATTGGTTCAATGAATAGAGCATCAGCCTGCGAACCAAAGGGTCCTGGGTTCGATTCCAGTCAAGGGCATGTACCTTAGTTGCAGGCTCCTCCTGGCCCGGACCCTGGTCAGGGCACCTGCAGGAGGCAACCAATCGATGTGTTTCTCTAACATTGATGTTTCTCTCTGTCTTTCTCTCTGTCTTCCATTCTCTCGAAAAATCAATGGAAAAATGTCCTCAGATGAGGATTAACAAAAAACAAAAACAAAAACAAAAAATAAAGGTGATTAAATGTTTATAAAAAAAAGTAATAATATTATAATAATTATGTACAATACAAGGTGGGTACTTAAAATATCAGCGGTAAACCACTTTGTAAGATATATGATTGTTTAACTACTATGCTGTATACCTGAAATGAATAATATTGAATGTAAACTATAATTGAAAAATAACATTAATAATGTGTCACTAGGTAGGATTGTAGCTGATTTTTATTTTTTATTCATAATTGTTTATATGTTCTGACTTTTATAAAATGAATAAGTATTATAAATATAATTAAGGTTTTTCAGCTAGTAAGTGGTAGACCTCAAATACAAACCGAAAACCTCTAAATATGTAACAAGCAATCTTCATTGCTCTTCAAGGTCATGACTAGCAAGATAGTAAGGAAAAAATAACCACATTCTCCTTCCTCTAATCCAGGGCCAAATTATTCTGATACATATATACCTACCTGGATTCTCCTTCATCCTCCACATGTTCACAATGGACAGAGTTGAGAGCACTGACTCTCTTATAATCTTGAGGGGTCAGATATAAATATTTGTATCCCTGTGAAGCACAAATAGTTATCTCATTATCTGCCATCACCACATAACCAGAAGACACAGCAAAGCATGCATAATGCAGCTTGTTCCAAAGCTAGCTTTAAATTGCCACATCACTTCTTAGAGTTACTGTCTAATAGATTACTAGCATAGACAGTTCTCCTTTGAAAGATGGAAGTGCCTATTTCTCCAGTCACTGACTGTCTGTCCTTGAAACAAGATGTCTTGTAGCTTCAATGCCAAGTGTATTCCATTTATTTCATTTTCACTAGGGTTAAAGGGTCACTTTCTGATCTCTAGTGACACCTCTATTAAAGACATAAACATAAAATTAAAGAATTATGTAAATTACTATGCTTCACTTTCTCAAATCCATAATATCATAAAAATATAAATGGGTATGGGATAATTGAAAGAATCACAATATTGGATATTCAATATTAAAATCAGAAGTCTATGCAGTGCTAATAATCAGTAACCACTGAATTCAAGCCTTTTGCTTTTTAAATAAACAACTCCTAATGCCTATTTACATTTTAAAAATTATACTAACATTTCATAATTGATTTACTTTTATACATACAAATATATACTCACATACAAAGTAGTTATATGATAGTGTGTTTAAGTGAATTAGTCACTCAGCCAAAAGAAAAAAGTAAACAGAGAAAAACATTTTAAATACTTTGAGAAATTATGCCCACCATTTAACTCAATGAATTAGAAGCTACATTTAGGCAGACACAGTGAATATAATATGTAAGAGACATGAATCTGCCATTGATTTTGCATGACTTATGACGATAACACTTTGTAGCACTGAGTATCATTAGTATGCCAGTCAGCATATATTTATTGAGTGCCTATTTTGTGCAAGATACAGTTCTAGGCACTGGAAAAAATGGAAACAAAACAGATAAAAATTCCTGGCCTTCTGGAACTTATCTTCTAGTAAGAGAGAACATGTACAGCCAAAACCAGTTTGTCTCAGTGGATAGAGCGTCGGCCTGCGGACTGAAGGGTCCCAGGTTCGATTCTGGTCAAAAGCATGTACCTTGGTTCCGGGCACATCCTCGGTGGGTGTGCAGGAGGCAGCTGATTGATGTTTCTCTTTCATAGATGTTTCTAACTCTCTATTTCTTTAACTCTCCCTTCCTCTCTGTAAAAAAATCAATAAAATATATTTTAAACAAAAAGAGAGAACATGTACAAACTAAATAAGTAAAACATAGGTAATGGGAATGTTTTATAAAAAATAAAACAGAATATCACCAAAGAAGGCTTCACTGAAAGTGTCAGTTGAGCAAAGACATGGAGAACTGAAGAAATGAGACATGGGGATATTGGGGGAGGGAGGGAAAACATTTTAACCAGAAGGACCACAAGTGCAAAGTACTAAGGCATGAGTGTGCCTAGTGGGTTCAAGGTAAGTATTTGTATGCTAAAGGGGTAGACCCCATAGAGAGGGAGGGAAATTATGATACAAGAAGTGGGGGTAGGGGTTGGGGGGGGGGGAGGGTAGAAGTGTTGATCTACATCTTTAAGTTGGCAAGAAGAAAAAGGATCAAGTGAACAAGAGGAGGGATTGGCCATAGATAGGAGCAGGGACCATTCTCCCAAAGTACAGGAGAAACGATGGAGAGTAAGGGCACAAATGCAGATATGTGGGAGCCTGTGGAAGCAGTCAAGTTGCTTCTGTTTTTGTTTTGTTTTTCAGTAAATTGGACAGCAAGGTCATCAGCTAAGAGTGAGGATGGGAGAAGGTGTTAAAGGTTTGAGGAGAGAGAAGAAGATGCAAGACTATCATTCAAAAGGTTGATAAACTTCAATTTAAAGACCAGTCAACAGCACTTTGTATTTTTCTCTATCAATATTCAGCTAAGTAGGATCAGGTATGGGAGTAGGTGGAGAGAGCTGAATTTAAACCAGGGTTGTAAAGATACAGAGTAAGCGCAATGAAGACAGAAGCCAAAAAGTTGAGGGTATAGGAAAGGTAGTACCTATAATGTGATTATAATAAGTAACCTAGGATTGACCTTAGAATTTAAGCTGGATAGAAATAAAATGAGGATGTAAGGAAGAAGTAACAGGTGAAAGGTGGTAGAATTAATAGTTGTAGGTCCTGGTGGGTTCAAAGGATTGCCAGACTTGGGTACTGAAGAAAGTGGGCTGCAAAGATAGGATGGAGGAGTGGCAAAGAAAGGAAAGCTTGAAGTTGAGATTATGGGGATGAGAGGCTAGGATGTCCCAGCAACTAAAAGAGGCAAAGGTCGAGAGGGAGTGACTAAGGTTGGGGAGCACTATAACAAGCAGCAGTGGCAATATGGCACAGTCTGATGACATTGGATTCAAAGACAGAGGTTTTCAGAGAGAAAGGAGGGGAAAGGGGTCTGGAAATAGCAACGAGGCACAAGGAAGACACTGTTCTCCTTCCAGGGTTGAAAACACAAAACAGAGGAATCACTCAGTTCTTAAGAGGGCTACAAAGAAAGCAGCATATTGAAAGGTCAGGCAGGTTTTAAGTAGAATATAGGCTGGAGAACAATCAGAGAAGAAGCTGAGAATATAAGGGATGTTGCTGATGACTGACCAGAAGTCCTGGAAGCCACAGTGGAATAGTTTAAAGACAGACATTTTTTGTATAGCATGTCACATGCTAATAAATACCTGCTATTTCACATAGTGTTCAACTAGAAAATCAGCAATATATCTTCAGAGATGGAGGAAAAACCAGGTGAACATATTGAGAGACAATTTGTTTCCAACATGGTTCACCATCAGTACTGGCTTTTAAATTTAAACCTCTGCCTCTTCCCCTCTCTACATATGTATACACACATATGCATAACCATATATTGTATTAAAGTATTATTTTTCCTTAGTTTGTACCTTGTAAGGATCCTCAGGATCTACCCAGGCCACATGAAACATATAGCGAATTTCTTCTGCCAATCCAATTCTTGCTCCACTGTTGGCTGCCACATAGATGCGTGGGATACCCTCTGCCCTGGCAAGCTCAGAAGCTCTGAGAAACAGCAAATCCTCCTGGGGCCCAAAGGACCCAATTCGGTATGTGATGTCATTGCCAATAACAATGATATCTCGGCCTTCTGGATACTCAGGACTTTTAAGGGTCATTTTCCAAGCCACCATGCCAATCTACAAGAGCAAAAACAAACAATTATGAGCTTCTTACAAGCTGATTTTCTTTGTGGGTTCCTTGAATGTATCGGACACAGCCTTCATGTAGATATGCATACACATTGCTAAAGAGCCAAGCTCCCTGTGAGAAACTAGAACACGTATTCTAGCATATTTCTTTAGATCATGTTGAAAACAGCTGGTTTCCTGTGTATTTCAGTTACCTCAATTCCATCTTTGGGCCTGCTCAAAGAGGTAAAAAACAAAACAAAAAAGAAACCGAAGCCAAAATGTACTCAGAATCCCTGTGGAAGAATGCCATGGCACTGGGAATTAAATCCAGAACTCCTGAACTTACTATATTATCTACTAAGACATTCTTTTCTTTTCTTTTCTTTTCTTTTCTTTTCTTTTCTTTTCTTTTCTTTTGAGATTCTTTCCTAGAAATCTTCAACATATGGAAGGACAGGAAGAGGATCACCTCTCACAGACTGCATAACTTTTGTGATTCAGCATCCTTTTACTGTCCTCTAGCATGTGGCTTGCTTCAGGTATCTTCCATTTCTGCAAGAATGTAATATATCTCTGCATCACATTCTTGTGAGCATCTCTTGTCACTTTCTCCCAGAACCGGAAAACCAGAGGATGCAAGGAACTAATCTCTTGCTGCACTATGATCTATGTAAACCTCTGCTCTCTGTTCCACACAAATAAATGATATTGACTTAAAAGGCAGGGGTGACATGTCTCTTCCCAAATCCGCATGACCCTCTTCTCTTTTAATCTCCTTCTGTATGAGAACTAGTCAATCTTACTACTTGTTTATTCGCTTGTTCCATCTCTTTCCTGTTCACTCACATTCCAGTTACAGCTGCAGTTTTTCATGTCTGCCTGTCCGTTTCCCTATACCTGGATAAAGAATGTTTTCCACCCCCCTCCCATTTCTATCTTCTTTCCCTTCCCACCCCCAGTACTCGCCTCCAAACACAAAGCCCACCAGATGAGCATTCCTGGCCCTGCCTAATGGAGCCCAGCCACATCTGCAACGATGGTTCCTCATCCCCAGGCTGCTGCATTTCACCTCATTGGGGAGCCGGCCATCAAGAAGGACCATTAACAGATGTAAATAGCAGCATCCCTGGAAAGCCACATGCATCACCCAGACTCAAGCGGGCCAGTGATCATAAGCTCTGAGTACACATTCCTCAATCCAATTGCACATCCACCGTAATCAGGCTGGTTGAAGCTTCCCACACAGCTATTTGTGATTTTCGGCACTAAAGAAATATATATTTGAAGCACCTACAGATGAATATAAGCTATTTAAAGTATTACACCACTGGCAAAATACAAATCAAAAAATGGATATAACACACAGAAAAAAATGCAATCACCTTCTGAGATCAGATACTACTCTATATGCTCATTAAAGAGAGAAAGGAAAGAGAAACAGATAATCTAAAATAAAAATAAAAAGAAATAGTAAAGAGAAACTCCAAATATCTAAAAGCGTAATTTTGGTCATGGTTTTAAGAAGCTGGTTAAGAGATTGCCTGTGTGGGAGAAATATTTTACCTGGCTTCTCACGTGGCCCTCTAACCCAACATCTTTTTTGTTACTCAGGAAGAAAAAGCTATTTTCTCTAAATGCATCTGTAGTTAGAAAGACCCCATCTTATACCAAATTTTATGATATATTAACCTTAGCCACCTAGGCCAGCAGCAGCTTAGATGTAAGCCCTGAAGAATTTACTTCAGCATTTCCATGCTAATGCAAACATTGTGTCTAGGTGGCACTGGGCAGGCAAATAATACTCTTATCTTTTGTTATTACCTGGGGACTCTGTGTCACTCGGGCAGTCAGTTCAGCAATTGGCCAGGTCATTAACCTTGCAATATTGACTTCTAATTAGGTGTCAACCCAGCAGCATCAAGAACACACTACTCTTTATCAATGTTCTTTCCAAAGTTAATTTCTCATCAACGGTTCCCCTCTCCCCTAAAATTGTACCTTTACAGAATGGAGAGTGCTAGCCCAGTCTTAGCATAGTGAGATTCCTTAGTGGAAGAGATAAATATCTAAGAAAGCACCTATTGCTCAATTTACCTAAAAATTAGATATTATTGCTAATCAAATGGTAGGTTGTATAATGGTAGCATTGGCTTTGAAGTCAAACAAACGCATCCACACCCAGGCCTTATCACTTATTAACTGTGTGGCTTGTGAAAATTATTTCATTGTGCCTCAGTGTCCCCACATACAAAATTAATAGCACCTATAGGTTTGATGTACAAACTATCAGAATTAACATCATGCAAAGTTTTGTTCCTTTCACTCTTCTCAACCTATCTAAATCTACCCATTCAAAAAGGTCCATTCAAATTCCATTTCCTTAGTAAAGTTTCTCCTACACTAAAGTGACCCCTTTCTTCTCTGATCTACTAAGACTTTCATGTAGAGAATTTATTTGGTAATTAATCATATACTGCCTACGACTGCTTTGAGCTTGCCAGTTTGAGCCATTATATCATTTCCAGTGCCTAGCAGGGTCTCTACACATAATATGGGAGTAATAATTATTTGTTGATTCCATAGTCATTTCATTTTTAAAATGATACTTGGAAAACAGTCATCACCAAGGGCTTACACCATTGTCCATATTTCTAGGGATCACAGAACAACAGTTCTAAACATTAATCAACTACTTATTTATTTTTAAAAATATATTTTATTGATTTTTTTACAGAGAGGAAGAGAGAGGGATAGAGAGTTAAAAACATCTATGAGAGAGAATCATCGATCAGCTGCCTCTTGCACACCCCCTACTGGGGATGTGCCCGCAACCAAGGTACATGCCCCTGACCGGAATGGAACCCGGGACCTTTCAGACTGCAGGCCGACGCTCTATCCACTGAACCAAACCGGTTTCGGCACTATTTATTTTTTTAAATATCAAGAATACTAATAGCTACCATTAATCGAACATCTATGACATGCTGTAGTATATTAAATGTTGACCAACATGATCAACATTTAAAAGTTTAAAGTTAAAAGTTTAAGTTGGGCATGTCAGCCTGTGTTGGTTCAAATCTCAGCTTTATACTAGCTGTATAACCTTGGACCAGTCATTTAAATTTGTCTAGTCTGAATTTTTCCAATTATAAAATGAGGATAACAGTATCTTTCTGGAGGGATTGTTGTGAGGAACACCACATTAGATTAGCACAGAGACTGTCTTATAAAAGTCCTCAAATAATAGCGATTATTATTAACTCAAAAACAGCTGTTATTATTGCTATGAGAAAACTAAGGCACAGAAAAATTAACCATGTCTTATAGTTGTTATGAATTAGTTGAAACACTGTGGAAAGATAAGTATCAACTATAACACACATACATGTCATTGAAACCTAAATGCAAAATATGGTTTCCTGGACTGGATCCTAGAACAGAAAAAGGAAATTACTGGGAAAACCCGGTGAAATTCAAAACAGGGTCTGTACTTTATTGAATAGTATTGTACCAATGTTACTTTCTTAGTTTTTATAATTATACTATTGATATGTAAAATGTAAACATTAGGAGATGCTGGCTGAAGGGTATATGGGAATTCTTTATCTTTGCAACTTTTCTATAAATTAAAATATTTTAAGACAAAAAGTTAAAATAATGTCTTTGTGAAAACTTTTTTGAAGGAAAGTAAATTGGCTAATGAGGTCATTGCTATTGATATGGACTGCCTTACAAAATGATGACTGTGAAGACTATAAATAGCATTTAAAAATGCCCATGATGTAATACTAAATATGAGGAAGCAGTGTAACAAAACTGTATGTATACTATATATAATAACAAAATAGTGTGGAGGTGAAGGGCACAGACTCAGAAGCCAGATTTGCTGACAATAAATCTAACAGAATCCAACTCTGCCAGAACAGAGATTTAGTTTTCTTTCCACATAACCTTAGCTAAGTTACTAACTTCTATGCATCTCAGTTTCCTTATCAGTAAAATGAGGGAATAATAATCTACTCTATAAATTTGTGAGGATTAAATATATGGTAAACCACAGAACAGTACCTGGCACATAGTAAATATTCCAACACCAACTTTTTGTTGGGGGAAAAAAAGAAATAAAGGACATAGCAAAATGATGGGATTGTGTGTATGTGTGTTTTTCCCATTATCCAAAGTTTCTTTAATATGTTTGCATTGCAGTGATAAACATTTTACAAAACAAAAATGTAATTGAAAAAGGATACCAAGTACCTCTTCACTGGGTGACAGGTACATGGTAATTTATATTTAAACATTTCCATCATTTAAAAAAAATTTTAAGGGAAAAAAAAAATCTCACCAAACTAATGGAGTTTCATATTTTATAAGAGCTGACTCTAAATTTTAGCCATACTACAACACAAATCGTATTTTATAATGACAGAGAAATGTAAACATATGAAAATTAAAAACCAAGACTCACCTCAAAGGGAGAAGAATATCAGGAACTGTCTTCGTTTGCTAGGAATATTATTTCACTTTTAAAAAAAGGAAATGTTCTACAGTGATGTGGTAGAATGCAAACATATGTATATATATATAGGTTTATACAATATTAATATCTCTACCTGAGAAGTAACTGCTTCAGTGTTTTTCTGGTCTGATGGTTAAATACATATTTATGCTTTAAAGTCAATATTTGTACACCAGACAAGAACAGTGCCTATCAGCTAAATACATATTTAGGACTGTACCACATGTATTACAAACATGCACTAAAATCGAAAGCTTCTATTTATACAGAGCCTTTCATCTTGAAGGGGGCTAAAGAGCTTTACAAACATATGTACATAAAGGGACGTTTGCACTGACAGGCAGGCAAGGTATCAATCCACCACTCCCCTATTTCTTCCAGCAGACCAGAGAGGAACACATGGTGCCCACAGCTGCAGGCCTGTAACAGCTGCACAGACAGGGAACACAATGATCCACGTTGCGGTGTGCAGTCACTGAAAGAGGGC